ACACACAAACACACACAGAGGAACTTGTAGTATAGCCCTACACACACACACACACACACAGAGGGACTTGTAGTATAGCCCTACACACACACAAACACACACAGAGGGACTTGTAGTATAGCCCCTCCACACACACACATACACACAGAGGGACTTGTAGTATTGCCCTACACACACACACACACAAACAGAGGGACTTGTAATATCGCCCTACACACACACACATACACACACACACACACACACACACACACACACACACAGAGGGACTTGTAGTATCGCCCTACACACACACACACACACAGAGGGACTTGTAGTATAGGCACACACGCACACACACACACACACACCCTCTCTATCTCCCTAGAGACCCCAGCAAGGATTAAAAACATGAAATTATGGGATTATTTTTGGGAAGGCAGTGCTTGTAAAACAGATCCCAAATTCTGTCCCTTGAATAAGTTGATCAGACAGCTTGGAAAGATGGAAGGGAGGTAGTTAGTTACCTGTAACTAGTTATTTCTGGAGGTAAAGAAGGGTTAAGATGAAATCACCTTTGCAAAGCAATGGAACCTTTAAGAAAGCTATTTCGGGGTGTGTGATATGTTTCAGTTTAGTGCCAAACATTACTGCGCTAAGGATGTTTTAAGGCATTTTTTTAGAAACAGGAATATTTCACGCATGTTACTCTATTGATTCTAATTTTTTAAGTAACGGAAGGAGCAGCTGAACAGGAAAGTGGAATGGATTACTTGTCTGGCACTGGAAATGAATTCATGTCTAAAAATTTATTGAGTAACAAGAAATTACCACTTGATTATTGTTACAGGTAAAGGGAAGACGTTATTGTTAGAAACTGATTTTCCAAGCTTGGCAAGAAAATGTGCACATATTTCATTATTTTGAGACTTTGGGGAAGCTAAATCTCACCCTTAGGTCCAACTAGAGAAAACTCATTGAATTAAAGCTGACTTACTAAACTCCCATTGATTCAATGGGGTGCAGAACCAATGCAGTGCAGCTGATCATATTGGTTTAGAACTCAAGAGATGTGGGTTCAAATCTCCGTCTGGCCAAGAAAATTCATGGGGATCTGGCACTTAAAATTTAAATACTTTGGAAAACATATAAGGTATTAGAGTTTGTTTGTTTGTTTGTTTGTTTGTTTGTTTGTTTATTTATTTATTTATTTATTTATCTGATTTATATCCCGCCCATCTGGTCTGGTCGAGTTGTCATAAGTTAGAATTCATGTGACTAGCACATAACATGCACAATTCACCGGGACGTGAAATGAATTGGAATTAAGATGGAATTAATTATTTAGGTCTGCTTTCATTTAGTTGCTACAATACTACAGTTTTATACACCTTTAAAACTTAGAATAAATGCTAAATAAAGTAAGAGAAGGCCTGAATAAATACCTTTCTTGAGGAAAAATGGGCTTGAACTTTTATATCACCTTTTTGATGGAAAGGCCCAAGATAAAGGGTGCAGAAGACTGAGAACAGCTGGTCTATAGGAATACTCGTACAGTAGGTGGGAGTGAAATTATTGCCTTCATTCTCTGTTTTCTAGACAGAAGGATGTGTGTGTGAATGGGCAGATCCTTACAAAGATAGGGGGCTGGTAAATGTTGGAAACTATTACAACTAGTGTTGGCTCCCAGATCTATTTAAAAACAAAACTGTTTGTCATCCCGATAAAAAACTCACACACTATCTATATTTCCCAGTATGTCCAGTTCTTCTGAATGCCTCTTCTATAGTTCACCCAACTTCTTTTACACCTAAACCTTTGCCACATGGGACTGTTTACCAAGCTGGTAATGAAATGAGGATGATGAGAACTCGGAACTCGGTTTCCTTCAGATTTGTTTCCCATTAAAATGAGAACGTCTGAAATCCTGTTTTGTAATTTAAGCCAATTTAAGGATAATGATGACATGATCAGGGGTGACTTTTTTTTAAAAAAAATGAAGCATTTCCTACTTCGGTCACAGAGCTCCTATGTAATCTTGTTCATGGTCAGAAAGCCTTCGGAGCCACAGGATTGGAGGAGGAAGTTTTTGATTGATGAAAATCTATGCTGATGGGCCTGGCTTTGTACCATTAAGCTCTCGTGTTCCCTCCCAAGGATCTCCAGTTGAAGAACTGGTTGCAGAGTTTAAAAGAGCCACTGTGTGTCATAGTCACAGTCTTACTCATGAGCAATGCCTTAGGTAGAGCAGTAATCAAGTTCAGTACAGTGGTGCCTCGCTTAATGAGCGCACCGTTTAACGACGAATCCGCATAGCGATCTGTTTTTTCAGATCGCTAATGCGATCGCTAATGCGATCGCCTTGCGATGTTTACAATGACAAAACATCGCATTGCAATGTTTTTTTAAACAGCTGATCGGTGGTTCCAAAATGGCTGCCAGATGCCCAAAATGGCTGCCACAACCATTTTCGCGCCCTGCCCTCGCTTACCGGGGCACCACTGTACTTTGAAAAGGAAGTCAGGATTCTTGCACCCTTAACAGGTCTGCAGAAGAGGGAATTTCCAAACAGCATATATTGCACAAAACTCCATTTTGAACACAATTATTAAAGGGTCAAGGGAAATACCTCTTTTTGCATCTGGCCACTTTGTTCTGGATATCAGTTGTCAAGGAGCAAACGGGAGAGAAAGCTTTTGTGATCGCATCCTGCTTGCAGGTGTCCTGCAAGCTAGGATACTGTATTAGGCTAGTCTAGATCCTCTTAATTACAGCTGCTGGTATAATACAGTTGATGAAAATGTGGGCCAAAATAAAAAGTCATGAGTTAGTGTTGAGATTTGTACAGCTCAGCACCCGGGAATGGATGCCTTTTCTAACTCCTTAACTTGCAGCAGTTTGCCAAGGAGATTGACACCAACAGCGCTACATTGGCATAAAAACTCAGTAGAATTTTAGCCAGGGTGTATTTTTGCTCCTTCAAATCTGACGGTGTCGCCTACAGGTTTCTAAACTCTGTGCATACAGGGGAGGGAGGTGTTTGGGAGCTCTGTCCAGCTGAACTAAATGCTGTCGTCCTCCGTCAGCATGATTCCAGATCTCTCAGCACAGCTTGAAAAGATTCCTTCTTTTTTATTTCGGACAACAGTTCCTGGTATGGTCGGGTGTTTTCTGGGGGTCGCTGTGCAAAACGGGAACTTTCCCGAACTCTCTTCTGGACGGACCTAGAATAATCACACCATCCTCTTCCCTCCGTTCTTCTCTTTCTCTTCTCCCTCCAGGTGACCTTGGAGGAGGCGGCTCGGCCCCATTCTCCTGTCCCTCCTGCCATATCAGCTGCAAGGATCCTTCCGAGTTGGTGGCTCACGTGGATTCCGGCTGTCTGGAGCCCCCCACGTGCTCGGCGGCCACGGCCACCTCTGCTGCTGGCCAAGACCACACCTTTGTCTCTTCCTCCTCGTCCTCCTCGTCCTCCGTCGAGGTCCGCCCCGAAAGCCCTCCGAGCATGGACATGGAGTCCGGGGCTCTGCTGACAGACCCCAACCAAGAGCCGGTTCCTCCCGGCCCGCCTCGCCCTCCTCCACAACCTATGCCTCCCGCAGCTTCCGTTCCTTCCGGGCACCTCAACATCCCTCTTATCCTGGAGGAGCTTCGGGTGCTGCAGCAGCGCCAGCTCCACCAAATGCAGATGACGGAGCAGATCTGCCGCCAGGTGTTGCTTTTGGGCTCCCTGGGCCAAGCGGGCTCCTCGACGCCTTCCGCAGAGCCGGCGCCGGTCGCCGCTGTTCCACCCAAGCCACCCTTGCCGGTCTTTTCCATCAAAACGGAGCCCGGGAGAACCCAGGCGTCCGGCTCCCCCGAAGTGCCCAAACCGGCCTTCTTCCACCTCTACCATCCTTTCCCCAGCGGTGCCAGGGTCCCCAAAGCCGAGCAGCTCCTGGCCCCGGCTTTCCCGACGGCCACGGGCCTCCTGGCCGCTCAGTGCCTGGGCGCCGCTCGGGGTTTGGAGCAGGCCACCTCGCCGGGCTTGCTCCGGCCCGAGGGGGAGATTCCTGAGGACTTCCATCTCCCCTTCTTTCCCCCCCAGGACGAGCGGCAAAGTGTTCGGCAGCGACAGCGCCCTCCAGATCCACCTGCGCTCCCACACAGGCGAGCGCCCTTACAAGTGCAACATCTGCGGCAACCGCTTCACCACCCGGGGGAACCTGAAGGTGCATTTCCACCGCCACAGGGAGAAGTACCCCCACGTTCAGATGAACCCCCACCCGGTCCCCGAGCACCTCGATTACGTCCTCACCGCCTCGGGGCTGCCCTACGGCATGTCGGTGCCGCCAGAGAAAGCCGAATCTGGAGAGGAGACGGCAACACCTCCGGCCGCAGAACGCAAGGCCCTGAGCGCGACCGAGAGCTTGACAATCCTTTCCGGGGCCTCCCCGTCTTCGGCGGCCCAGGCCCTGCCGACCTTCAACAAGCTGGTCCTGATGAAGGCGGTGGAAGCGAAGGGCAAAGGGGACGAGAACACTCCTCCGGAAAGGGAGTCCGAGGGCACCCGGCTTCAGTTGGGGAAGTTGGTGGGCTCCTTGCCCAGCTGGGCCTTGTTGGCCAACCACTTCAAAGCCGGCGCCGCGGTGGGGCCTTTCCCGTACGTCCTGGAGGCATCGCCCTCGGAAACCTCCAAGCTGCAGCAGCTGGTGGAGAAGATCGACCGCCACGGGTCTCCCTCGTCTTCCTCCTGCACGGCCCCCGTGACCGCCGCCCAAGCCGCGGCCGGTTCCTCGTCCTCTGCATCCCCGCCCGCCTCGTCGTCGTCGTCTTCCGGACCCAACCAGTGCGTCATCTGCTTGCGGGTCCTGAGTTGCCCCCGGGCTCTGCAACTTCACTACGGGCAGCACGGAGGGGAGCGGCCGTTCAAGTGCAAAGTGTGCGGGCGGGCTTTTTCCACCCGGGGGAACCTGCGGGCCCACTTTGTGGGCCACAAGACCAGCTCGGCGGTCCGCGCTCAAAACTCTTGCCCCATCTGCCAGAAGAAGTTCACCAACGCCGTCAGTCTCCAGCAGCACGTCCGCATGCATCTCGGCGGGCAGATCCCCAACGGGGCGCTCCTCCCCGAGCCTTCCATTTTGGAAGGGGCCCCGCTGGTGGAAGGGGAGAAGCCGCAGCAGCAGCCAGAGCAGCAGCAGCAGCAACAGATCCAGGCGGCTTCTCCTCAAGAGGACGACCTTTCGGAGGAGGACGAAGAAGAACCCACCGACGAAGACTCGATGGAAAGCAGCGGGGAGAAGGTGGAAGGGCTGTCCAGTCCCGAACGGGAGGCCGCGGGGGCTACCAAAGAAGGAGAGGCAGTGGGGCGGGCAGACGAAGAGGAGGACGGGGGAGCCCCGCCGTCTGAGCCCGGGAGCCCTCCACGGCCCATGCAGGAAGAAAACGTCGAGATGGGAAAAGTGGGCGGGGGAGTTCCCCAAGAGGAAGAGGAGGAGGAGAATCAGGAGAAGGAGAAGGCGGCGGGAGGGGAAGGCCCATCTGAGACCCAGCACGGTAGTCAAGCCAAAGAGGGGCTGCTGCCGTTGGTGTGTGGGATCTGCAAACAGGCCTTCCCTGACCGGGCAGCTTTGCGGAAACATGCAGTGACTGTCCACCAACAGGTGAGAGAGAAACGGAGCGCCTTTGCCTTTTTGCAGTGACCCAGGCTTCATTTATTCCCACGTGGTCCCCTCGGCCATCTTTTTTTTTAGCGATGTAGGGATTCCGACTTGGCCCTCCTCTAGAGGCAGCCCCAGGACGTGCCGCCACCCCTTCTTGGGGTGGGGTGGGGTGGTCCATCCTTGTCGCCAAGAAGGATTCAGAGCTTCTGTGTCTTGTTCATGACTCTGAGCTTGAAAAATTAGTATTAAAAAGTAATAAACTGCACTTCGGCCATGCCTTTTGTTAGCTAGTAGTATAGTTGCAATTTGTAAAACTTTTTGATTTGATTTGATTTATATACTGCCCCATTATTGCAAGTACGTACAATGCTGGGCAGTTTACAGGACTAAATTTTTAAAAGCCCACATAGCAATACATATATCTTCCTTGCTACTCAAATTGGTTTTTTCTTTTAAATAGCCAGAATGCTATTGGGATTTTACTCTGGGGCAAGTGAAATGGATGAAGTGGCAGAAGGAAATTACAGTTGTTTAACAAGTAGCCATTGGCATACCTGGTCATATCCCTTGTCGTGTGATTGGCACACGACTGGCAGTTTCTCTTACTTTGGAGTAAAATCCGAATAGTTAAAATCCCTCTTATTTTGCAAAAATTATTCTTCGTTACATTACAACTTTTATGTAACTTAGTTATTTGAAAAAAAGAATGGATTAGAAGTACCATATTTTCCCCATGTATAAGACGCCCCCATGTATAAGACCCCCCCACTTTTCTAATCCAAAATTAAGAAATCTAAGTGGGGTTTAGCATGTGTAGGGGGAAGGGGATCAAAGTGCTGCAAGATCGCTTTGATCCCTGCTTTCCCCTCCACTTGTTTTTGTTCTCTCCTCAGCGTACTTCCGTGTATAAAACGACCGTCATTTTTTAGTTTAAAGATTTTAGACAAAAGTATAGTCTTATACACAGAAAAATATGGTAACTATTGCTTCCCATCACTGTCTAGGCTATCATGTCTTACACAAGCACTGTAATTGTCTTTCTCACTCTTGCCGTGCCATTATGGCTTACGGGGTGGACCCTTCTGTAGGGTTGAGGGGCAGATCCCCTTGAACACCTGGGCCCACAGGAAATTACCTGCCCCCCAAGAGTAATTCAGGGGTGCTTTGCTGTGTGAGTGCAATTGTGTCCCTTCCTAAGCCTGTTTGAGGTACTATTCTAGACATAGGAAGTGACTTAATGGATTACTTCCATATTTTTTAAAGGACTTTTTTAAAGCCTAAGACAACCCCCAAGGGGAGGAGAATTGTGTTTATAGGGCAAATTTTATCCCCTCGAAAGCAATATTTGGGCAGTGCCGAAGGTGGGAAGGGAGAGAGAGGGGTTTTTTGGCCAATCCCTGCTTCGGAGTGAGATCAAAAATATTTGCAGGTTGGAGTGTTACGAAAGGACCACTAACGTTTAATCATTCCTTACTTCATTTTCGCTGCCAGAGATGGAGAGATCATTAGTTAAGTGATGGGACATTTTTGAAAACTGTCCACCAGGACGTGACCGTTTCTTCTTTTGCCTCAGGCAGCAAAATGTCCCGATATCATGGTCTCTCCATCCTCTATGACTTACTTTCCTGCAAGAGTCACATCATCATCATACCGGTGACTCTTTTCCTCTTGGTTATCGTGCATGAGACCAAAAGCGATCTGGTGCCATTCTTTGGAGAAGTCGTTGCTAGACAACAGAAAACGTAGACATCTCCAGCAGCCAAAAAAAAGAGAGAGAGAGAGAGAGAGGCTCAGGTTTCTCCCGGTTACAAGAGAAAATGTGTCTGCAGATGATGGTTAATTCCCTCTTCTAAGGGAATCTTGGGACTTATAGCATGGCAAGAAATCTGAATATTTTAACGGTATCTGAAAACTCCCCGAGATCCCCTTCATCCTGGCCTCAGTTTCTCTCGATGCCTGGCTGTATTCATCCTTCTGCCTCCCTTCCTTCCCTTCTTCTCCTTCCTCTGATTTGGCTCTTCCTTCTTCAGTTCCCTTAAATCAACAGTTCCCAAACAGTTGTGACTTTTTTCGCTTCCCCCCCCCGCCCTAAACTATTGGGAGTGCCACAGCCAGTGACTAGTAAGTCAGGAAAGCCACAAATTAAAAAAAAGGTTGGGAACCACTGCTATTCAGTATCAAACTACATACCTGGTCTTTCATGGGGAGGGCTGTCATTATCAAGACTCAGTTTTGTGTTTCTGCTGCCCCTGGGTATCAAAATATGCTAGTTACTGCCCCTCTAGGGACGTGGTGGCGCTGTGGGTTAACCCGCAGAAGCCTCTGTGCTGCAAGGTCAGAAACCCAGCCGTCGTAAGATCGAATCCACGTGACGGAGGGAGCTCCCCTCGCTTGTCCCAGCTCCTGCCAATCTAGCAGTTTGAAAGCATGCAAAAATGCAAGTAGATAAATAGGGACCACCTTGGTGGAAAGGTAATGGCGTTCTGTGTCTAGTCTCGCTGGCCACGTGACCACGGAAACTGTCTTCGGACAAACGCTGGCTCTACGGCTTGGAAACAGGGATGAGCACCGCCCCCAAGAGTCGGACACAACTGTACTTAATGTCAAGGGGAACCTTTACTGCCCCTCTAAAACAGAGTGCCGGCTTTGGGACTTCACCGTAATAAGCACTGCAGGAAACTTCAGCTTTCCGTCAGACTCGTATATCCTGATCAGAAATGAGACATGATGGAAGTTGTAGTTCAACCATATTTGAGGGCTAAAGATTCCCCACTTCTGCTGTAAATGAAGTCCCTCTCTCAAGGTATTTCTGAAAATGGTGGTATGAAATCCCTCCTAATGTAGCTCCTGATGTAGCTGCTGGGATGGAAATATGTAGTAGATGCTCTCCGTATCCACAGGAGGTTGGTTCCACCATCATCCTGCAGATGCTGAAAAATGTGGATTACGTCTATGTAGTAGACGCTCTCCGTATCCACAGGGGGTTGGTTCCACCACCATCCTGCGGATGCTGAAAAATGTGGATTACGTTGAACGCTATTTTAATAGCACTATAGCATGGTCTCTGGCTCCCTCTCGTGACCAGTTCTGGTCATTTCCCCTTCAGAAATAGGTGTTTCCAGGATTCTTACTATTTTCAGACCATGGATAAGTAAATCCGCGGATAGTGATCCCGCGGATAAGGGGGATCACTGTCGTTTTCCCAGAGGATTCGAATAGCTGCTCTCAAAACTATAAATCCTGGAGGGGATCTTGGTTTAAAAGTTTGACCCTTAGCCTCCGACGTTGGCTTTCTCTCCGTTAGCACTGCATTACCTTTGGGCGGTTCAGGCCCGATCCACCATCGGCGTTCATTGTCCTACGGCTCTCTCTTCCTCCAGCAGGTCCACCCCGGCAGCCACGCCTGGAGCAGCAGCAACAGCAGCCTGGCGCGCCGTGGACGGCGGCCGCCTCTCGAAGGCCCCGTGGCAGGGCTGTCGAGCGGTCAAGTCAAGCTGCGAGACTTCTTGGGACGTGACCTACCAGCCCAGCTCGTGGGGGTGGGACCCCTCTCCTTCTGGAATCAGTACACGGCCTTCCTCTCCGGGGGTCTCCCAACCAAGCCGGCCCACAGCGTTGCTGTTCCCACCTCTTCTTCTTCCTCCTCTTCCTCCTCCTCCTCTTCCTCTTCTGCTTCCACCATGGTCACACAGGGCTTCTTTGGATCAAGCCTCCCCCTGGGGAAAGGAAGTCCAGGCGAGACCAAGGAGAAACCTCCGCCGGTGGGGCCGGACCGCCACCTCCGCCCCCCTCTGCCCAGGCCCCAGAAGTCATCCCAGAGGGCCAAGGAAAGGGGGAGAAGTAGCTTCACCTCGACCTCACCTCCATCAGGTAAGGAATCCAGGTTGGATCGGCACCTCTTCATGGGAGTAACCCTTTCAGGCTGTTCCACAGTCATAGAGTTGGGATCATTTTTTTGCTCACTGGTCCATATTTTAGCTTCCACCCCCCTGTCCTATTGTTAGGTAGGTGACACAGCCAGCTCGGAGGGCAGATTTGCAGTGTCGCGATAGGATGCCAAACGATTCGCCTTCTTGTTATTGTATGTTTACTGCCAGGGTTGGGGAGATTTCCTGCTGCATGTCCCAAAATACTGTATTTTTCTGTGTATAAGACTATACTTTTGTCTAAAGTCTTTAGACTAAAAATTGGGGGTCGTCTTATACACGGAAGTAAGCTGAGGAGAGAAAAACAAGTGGAGGGGAAAGCAGGGATCAAAGTGATCCTGCAGGGCTTTGATCCCTTTCCCCCTACACTTGCTAAGCCCCACTTGGATTTCTTAATTTTGGATTAGAAAAGGGAAAAATTCAGTATTAACTCAGTGATTTAGAGGTCTCGAGCTCTGACGTCAGAGGTTGGGAGTTGATTTCCCCCATTGGGCCTCCTTGACAAGCATTTCTAAGGTGGTGGTGGTGGTTATTGATGTTGTTGTTATGCGTCTTAGCTTAGATAAGAGGACATCGTTTTGTTGTTCCTTCATAGGCAGCAGCCTATCTTAGGGCAACGCTGTATGTTATGAAATCTGACCATAATCATCATCGTGCACCATCAGTTCTGATTTTCAGGGTTTTCCGTAATATTCAGAAATGGTTTTCTGTTCCCTTCCGGTGCCCCTCTAGTTGAGTTTTTGAACTTCTCTTTTTTGCTCAGAGCTGAACTTATCAATCTTTATGAATTGCTGAATGTCAGTCGAAGAAGGAAAATGTGTGTGTGTGTGTGTGAGTCTTTATGAATTGTTGAATGTCAGTCGAAGAAGGAAAATGCAGGGGGGGATGGAATATCGGCAGAAGGCAAAATCGGCCGGTAGAAACCATGAATAAGAACATTCCATACTGTAACTTTCTGTTGCAGTAAGGTTCCCACTCATGGCTCCTAAGTCCTCCCTTGAATTTCTTGAATTTCCTTCTCAAGCTGTCTCAGCCAACAACACTAGAGGACTACCGAGCTGTAGTTGCCCCGAGGAGGGAAATGACGACAACATGCTGTGTTTCTAGCATTGATGTGACCAATGACACGAGAGAAGTTTCCTTCCAAATATCCCTTTTCTTGCATCACTGTTAATAATGCAAGAAACCCTGTTTTGAAAAGTTCTTCATGCTCTTAGGGATAGGCTGTTTGGATCTTCTGGACTACAAATAGCATAATTCTTCATTCTGGGAGCTCTTAGCTGCCCTGCCGACATCTTATTAACACCAGAATGTGATCCACCAGGGAGGAAGGTCTAAATGAGAAGACCTTGAACTTTTGCTAGGGCCGGTTCTAGCTGAGCTTCCAGTTCCTGCTGCAGGGGTGGCCCAGGCGGGTTTCTTTCTAAGCAGGAAGCTTGGGTGGGAGCTTGGCCTCGGTAAACCTTAGACCTTTCCTCCAGGCACATCCCGTTCAGGTGTTGGTAGCTGACTGCCCCATGCTGAGGGGGATTCTGGGAGAGTGGGGGATTCTGGGAGACTGGAAGAGTTTCTTTTCCAAGCTCCAGAGCAGTTGCTGTTACTTATAGAATAGCTATGACAGAGGGTGTGTTTAACAGGATGCCTGGATTCTCCTTTCTAATGTTAACCCTTTTTTTCTCTCTCCTTCTTTTCCAGGAGGAACTTGATCTAGTGATACCAAGGGTGGGGGAAGAGAGAAGACCCACTCACCCCCCAGCCCTGCAGGAGAAGCGGCTCCAGTCAGATTTTAGCAGGATTTTAGTCTTTTTACTTTTAATGTAGCTTGGATGTCCATTGGCCAGAAGGCAGAGAGTCCCGGCAGAGTGGCTGCCTCCTTCTCTGGGGCAAAAAAAAGCAGGGTAACTGCCCAGTCTAGTCCAGAAGTTGAAAGAGGTCTTGTATCCCAACGTGCCCCAGCAGAATTGGCTCTTATTTGTAGCAAAGGGTGGTGGTGGGTAGCCCCCTGATGAGACCCCCCCCCCAGCCACCTTTTCCTGATCACAAAACCCAAGGATAATCTTAGGAAGTGGCCTCATCTTTATGCAGATGGCAAATATGCAGCCGTTGTGATGCTGTTGGACTGCAGTTCCCATGAACCTTCCCCGTTGGCTCTGCTGCCTGGGGCTGATGGGACTTGTAGTTGATGGACATCTGGTTGTCCGTCCCAGGGTACACCCTGAACGTTTAGCATTTTGTTCATCAACAGGGGGCAGCGGCGAGTACAGGGCATTTTGAAGACGCTGGAAGAAGGTTCCCACCCTAAAAACGATAGGTCAACACGGAGGGGAAGAGTTGAGATCTGGAATCGTTTATCCCTCTCGTTCTCTATAAACAAGGGCCACCCTCTGAATGAAGCAATCTTTCTTGACTGAATGTACAAGTTTTAAAATGATTGAATCTGCATATATTTGCATATGAATAAAAATCAGTACACTGAAAGGAACATCGTGGTTTTCTTCATTTTTCAGGCACAGCCAGCCAGCCCCATCTTACTGAAATTCTCTTTTTCCACTAACTCGGCTGTTTACTGATTATTGAGCTGCCATTGCTCTTTCAACTGAAATATAATTTTTTAAAAAATGCGGCCTTGATTTAATAATCAAGTAAAATGGAGCTGCTTGGATAACGGACAATTTTTCTGTGACTGTGGAGAAATTCGATCCATGCAGCACCTATTTGCGTGCCATTTCTGTCCAGCCGTATGTACCAAGGAAGATCTAGTAAATGGATGAGGTAACGTTGTATTGAGGTAGCCCACTTCTGGTCAAAAATAGTCTCATGATCTTAACATTTTAATTTGGCTGTTTACTGATTAGTGAGCTGCCATTGCTCTTTCTACTGAAATATAATTTTTTAAAAAATGCGGCTTCGATTTAATAATCAAGTAAAATGGAGCTGCTTGGATAACAGACAATTTTTCTGTGACTGCGGAGAAATTCGATCCATGCAGCATTTGTTTGCATGCCATTTCTGTCCAGCCGTATGTACCGAGGAATATCTAGTAAATGGATGAGGTAATGTTGTATTGAAGTAGCCCACTTCTGGTCAAAAATAGTCTCATGATCTTAACATTTTAATTTGTTTTTTAATTTTAACTTTGACTTGAATTGGACCATCCAAGGGGGAGGATTTCAAAAAGAAGACTTTTCTGGCTGCCTTTCAAATCAAGGACTGTTCTCTGCAGAAGAGACCACACAACTACCCTGCCTGTAGTTCCAAACATGTTGAAGGCTGCATGGTCTCTGGGAAGGGGGTACTCCGAAAGAATACAACAAATAATAGACAATGCGTTTTTTTAAAGGGCGTGTGCTTTGGCGTTTCACAGGTCTCTTCATCAACAGGAGTTCTGTGAAACTCCAGAGCTTTCTAACTCTTGCCATGCTGAGCCTCGGGCATGTTTCTGTGGTGGAAGAGGGTAGGCCCCAGGCTTTTCTGAGCCACCTCCCTCGCATCCTATAATCGAACCCTGACGGAACAATGAGAAACAAAGGAATTATCTCCGCTCTCTAGCGTCCCCATTGCTTCTTTCTAGCGGACGTTCGGCAACGGGGCCTTTGATTCCACCTTTTGGCGATCCTTTAAAATATATATATAATCTGCCCTGTTCTTAAAGCGCTTTTGTGCCTGGCTGAAAAGGAGGAGGGGTGGGCTGGAGGGACTCCATATATACCTCCTTCCTTGCACAGAGCTAATGCTTTTTGACAGCCCGTTTCGCCCGCCCTTCCGTCCGACCCGGCCATCCGTTACGGATAATGCTATTTTGCGGCTTAAGCGGTCAGGCCTTCTTTTGCCGCGCTTTGAACCTGGCAGGCCTCCAAAGGAGAAGGGACAGTTCTCGCTCGGCGCTAATCCCCACTTTCCCGGCTTCGTCTCCTCTGCTCGTGTTCAGGATGCTGCTTTTAGGGTGGCCGCATATACACGGCACCACACCGCGGGGTTGGGGAATAGCTCGTCCCCTCCCTCAAAAAAAGGGAGCAAATGAGGATGCCAATTGGCCTGATTTTTAGGTACACGATACCTAGATGGGATTTGCCATTTCCTTCTTCTGGGGGTGCCCTAGGAGGGGGCAGTTCACCCAGGTCTAAGAAGCGAGCAAGCGCCAAAGAAAAAATAGCACGTTCTAAGAAAGACTCAACAATCCTTAGAGATCAGCCACTCTGCGCATGAGAAACTAACTGCTTTGCTGAGAAGCGAGAAGTTGCAATCCATGCACCTAGTCCTCAAGGACCAATCAACGGCTGCATACTTTTGCTTCCTTTTTTAGAACTGTATAAAAACTTGAACCCTGTTGATCTTGGGGTCCCCACCCTGCTGGGCACCCGGGGGCGCACTTATCCGAATAAACCTGTCGCCCCTTCCTCCAAGAAACTGCCCACTTATTATTATTGCTCAAGACTTAAAATCAGCTGAGACATCGAGCTCTGGGAGTAAGGAGGCAGTGCAGAAGATCCAACTTCCGACCTCTGGCCCTGCAGCAGGACAGCTAACCCACTGAGCTATCCGGCCAATGCACATAAAACGGCACAAAATTGGTTTGTGTAGGGGCAAAACGTGGAATTTGCTTGAGAATTGAAACAATGGTAACGCGCTTTGCAAGAGTGGGGAAGGGAGAAGGAACCTACATCCTGCTTTTGCCATCCAGGTCCTTCATGCAGCTAGGAAACTTTTCAGATCCCTGATCTCCCCTCTTTTAAGCCCCCTTCTTCCTGCATGGGATCTAGCCAAGGGTGATCTGGCCAGCAGCCGTGTTAGTTTTGTAGCAAAAGAGAAACCAAAAAGTGTTGTAGCACTTTTAAAGACTAGCTAGTTTTTATTTCGGAAGAAGTGCACTCAGACACATGAACGCTTATGAAATATAAACACTAGTTAGTCTTAAAGACACCTGGTTTCTTCATGGGAAGAGGGCCACTGAAAGGAGAAGCAACATATAGCCAGAAGCAGAGTTATTATTATTTTTTAATTGCTGTACATATTTTACAGGATTTTTTGGTGGTCTCCAAGCCTTAGGCCCTGCCTGAGAGTCTCTCAGAGGACAGTTGCCTTCAGCTTCCTTGCTACTGGAGTCTCCAGACCAGAGACCTTATGAATAAGCAATCTCCAAAATGTTGTGCTCGCAGCTGAATGCTCAGGTCTTGCAAAGTCAAGCCTGTGGTTTCCTTTAGGGAGTCAGTAGATGTCGTATTGGGTCTTCCTCTTTTCCTGCAATCTTCTGCCTTTCCCAGTATGATGGTCTTTTCTGGAGACTCGCCTTTTTGTGATGTGCCCAAAGTAGGACAGACTCAAGTTTCAAACATTTTTGCTTCCAGGGATCGTTCAGGCCTGACTTAATCTAGGACCCACTCGCTTGTCTTTCTGGCAATCCAGTAATGAATATATTCTCTGTCCCAAGCAGGACAGACTCAAGTTTCAAACATTTTTGCTTCCAGGGGTCGTTCAGGCCTGATTTAATCTAGGACCCACTCGTTTGTCTTTCTGGCAATCCAGTAATGAATATATTCTCTCTCCCAAGCAGCAACACAGGGATAAATATTCCAGAACGATTGTTGTATAGCAGCTCTTAATAATTAGCATACAAAAAAGTCAACTTTCCAAATCAGGAATAAATGGCAAGACAAATAGGTAAAAATGCTTTAAAATAAAATAAAAGCAAAAACTGGTAATTAAAAAAAAGAATGAAATTATCCTTGTCACAAAAAGACTTGTGTTGGAAACAGTATGAACGGCCTTTAAGTTCAGTGTTTTTGGACTGGGAAGAAAAGAAATGGAAAAATGCTTCTGAATGATTACAAATTGCATTTCACCAGTAGCTACCCAGTTCTTATATTCAAACAGGAAAATACAGAATCTGAAATAATTGGAGAACTGTCCGTATAATAATTGGTTTTACACTATCAGAAGGGCACTGCGCCCATTTCAAACATGGCTGCCCGAGGGTCACCCCCTTCCCTCCAAGCGACGCTCGATGGCGTCCAAGTCGGGCCAAACAGCGGAAGTGTGCTCTGTTTATCTCCTTCCCCCGAAAGGCACTTCCGGTCCCGTTCCGGAGCCTCCCTGTGACCATAGCGACGGCCCGGTGAGCTTGGGGGGGTGATGTCGGACACATGGAGTTCGATCCAGGCTCACAAGAAGCAGCTGGACTCGCTGCGGGAGCGGCTGCAGCGAAGGCGGAAGCAGGAGCCGCTGGGTGAGGAGGAGCGGGAGGAGAGGAGGGGGGGACTAGGGTGTGTGTTTGTGTGGGGGGAAGAGGTCAGAGGTCATTCATAGCTGGGCTGCGCGACTGGGGATGATGGGTCAGGTAGCATCAGGGAGGGCCAGGGGGATGAGGGGATGATGGGTTAGAAAAGGAAGTCGAGGGAAAGGAAGAAATTACTATCACAGTGACTGTGGCAAAGTGGGATATTTGCTAAGAACTGGAGAAAAAAGCAACTTCATGATAAATGAACCTGGGAAACCAAGATCAGGAAAGGAGTATTGAAATGAAATGATCTTAAAGAAATATGGAATTCATTTTTGGCCTATGTGTTTCGGAAAGGGGAAAGGGTCTGCACCTGGAGATGAGTCTATGTGTTTCTGGAGAGGAATTGGGGGGGAGCGATAATTTTTTTGTTAGATTAGGCATCCTTCAGTCTCAAGAGATTAGGGTAACATGCTCTGTATGGAGGACTTGGAACAGCGTCTGGTATGGCCGAGAAGGCCAATTCGAGAGTGAGAATTCCTTCCACACTGAAGACAAACACAATCTGTCCCCTGTCCAACTCCCTGGTTTTGCTGCTTTTGGGACTTCCTCTTTGCCTTGGCCTGCTGGACAAGGATCTCTTCAAATTGGGAGAGGCCATGATGCGCCGCCTGCCTCCAGGCTGAACGCTCAGAGGTCAGGGTTTCCCATCTGCTGAGGTCCATTCCTAAGGCCTTCTGATGGCCTTGTATCACAGCTGTGGTCTCCCTCTGGGACGATCTCCATGCACTCATTCTCCATACAGGAGATCCTTTGGAATCCGACCGTCAGCCATTCTCACAACATGCCCAAACCAATGTAGACGATATGAGATAATAAAAAATGAAAATAAAAACTAGTCCCAAGGGTGTGGGGTAGCACAGGGTTGATCACTGTGCTTTTTTATTTATTTTTTAAAAAGTTGATTTATTATTGGTGTTTTCTTTACTTGTGAAGGTTTTCTTGGGTTTGAAAAATAATAACAAAAAAGGAGAAAGAAGAAAAGGAAATCTGCTGAGCAGGAACAGCATTGGTCCATTTATCCCAGTTTACTGTTTCCAAAAGTGGACAGCCAAGAAGCTTTCCAGAATTGGAGACAGCAGCTCTTCCTCTCCTCTATGCCTTCGGTTGTTTGGTCGCCTTTCAACTATTTCTCCAAGTTTGCTACCTTTCAATGCAAAGGTCCTGTGGCTGAGAATTGACAGGTAGCGGAGCAGAGTGGTCAGAGTTCAGGTCTGAGACTTGGGAAGTCCATGCGATAGCTCAGTTGAGCTGTGTAACTCAGTGGATGCATTAACAGAAGTAGAGTCTCTAAATCCTAGAGTGGTCAGAGTTCAGGTCTGAGACTTCGGAAGTCCATGCGATAGCTCAGGTTCAGCTGTGTAACTCAGTGGATGCATTAAGAGAAGTAGAGTCTCCAAATCCCATATGGTGATAGACCCCATCTATTCAGCACTGGTTAGGCCTCAGTAAGGTGATAGACCCCCCATCTATTCAGCACTGGTTAGGCCTCATACTGAGTACTGTGTCCAGTTCTGGACACCATACTTCAAGAATTGGGAGCAGGTTCAGAGAAGAGCAACGGGGATGACTGGAAACCAAGCCCTATGAGGAGAGACTGAAAGAACTGGGCATGTTTAGCCTTGAGGAAAGAAGACGGAGGGGAGATAGGATAGCACTTTTCAAATAC